GAAGTGAGAAAGACAGAGATTCTTACACTATTGCAAAGGCAACCAAGTCTATTTCGTTTTTTTTTTAACTTTTAAGACTTTTTTGAGAGCAATTTTTGGTTCATAGAAAAACTGAGAAGGTACAGAGATTTCCCATGTAACCCCTGCCCCACAGAACACAGCCTACCCCATTATCAACGTACAGCACCAGAATGGTACATTTGTTACAAATAATAAACCTACATTGAGACATCATTACCAGAGAGTCCATAGTTTACATTAGGGTTCATTCTTGGTGGTGTACATTCTATGTCTGGCCAAATGTAAAATGACATTTATCTACTACTGTATCATACAAAGTAGTTTCACTCTCCCCAAATCCTCTGTGCTCTACCTATTCATCCCTCCTTCCTCCTTCATCTCTGACAACCAATTAACTTTTATCTCCATAGTCTACCCTTTTCCAGAATGCCATATAGTTGGAAACATACACTACACAGTCTTTCCTGCTTGGCTTTTCCACTTAGTAATATGCATTTAAGTTCCCTCTGACTTTTCACAGCTTATTTCTTTTTAGCATTGAATAATATTTCATTGTTTGATAATAAAACAGATTGTTTATCCACTCATCTAGGACAAGACATCTTAGTCGCTTCCAAGTCTTGGCATTGTGAATGAAGCTACTATAAATATCTGTGTGCAGGTTATTGTGTGGAGATGAGTTTTCAACTCCTTTGAGTAAATACTGAAGAGCATGATTAATGAACAGTATGTTAGAATATGTTTAGTAAGAGTATGTTTACTTTTATAAGACACTGCTGCACTATCTTCTGTGAACAAAGACAGTTTTTTTTTTCTTTCTTCTCAGTTAGTATATCCTTTGTTTCCTTTTCTTGTCTTATTTCATTAGCTAGGATTTCCAGCACAATGCTGAAACAGAATGGTGAGTAGTATTCTTGCCTTAGTAGGAAAGCTTTGAGTTTCCCACCATTAAGCATGGTGGTTAGCTGTAGGGACATATATGTAATCTCACAAACATACACAGATAATATACATAATCAAGTTGAGGAAGTTCTCCCTATACCCGGTTTACTATTTTTTTTTTTAATCATGAATGGGGGTTGGAGTTTGTCAAATGCTTTTATTGCATCGATTGATATAATCACGTGATTTTTCTTTTTTAGCTTCCTGATGTAATAGATTACATCTATTTAAAACCTAATTAATAGGTTTTAAAATGTTGAACCAGCCCTGTGTACCTGGAATAAACTCCCCTTGTATTTTCAAAACCATATACTTATCAGCTTTTCATCTTGTAGTGGAAACAGTTTTTATAAGGAATTTTTTTGCTAATTTGTCCTTATAAATTCTGATGTGTTCATTGACGAGAAATAAGAAGGGTACATAGGACTATACTGAGAGGAAAAAGTTGAGAATGGAGTTTGTCACTGAGGCTTAACTTGAAGATGTCATAAAATCATGAGTTCATTATTTTTGAACTTGCTATTTTGGCCCAATTTTCATGATATTAGAATGTGAGATACATTCTAATGTTTAGTACTAGAGATTTCAAAAGTATGAATTAAACACGCACATTCCAAATGATCTATTCATTCCACTCCTATTTTCCCTGGAGAAATGAGAGCACATATCCATACAAAGACTTGTACATGGATGTTCACATCAGCTTCATTTGTAGTAGCACCAAACAGGGAACAATCTCAAAAATGACCAACAGCTGAATGGATAAACTGTGGTATATTTATGTGATGTAATTCAACTCAGTCATAAAAAGGAATTAACTATCGACACACATTACAACATGGATGAATCACGAAAATATAGAGTACAGACTGTATGATTCCAGTTATACAAAATTCTGAAAAATACTAACTAATACATAGTTTGCCAAAGTTGATCGGTGGTTGACTGGACGGGGTAGAGAAGAGCAGGAGGAAGGGACTATAAAGAAGTGTGAGAAAAATTTGAGGTTAAGTCTGCTGATGGTTTCACAGGTATATACATGACAATACAATAAAGTGTACATATGTAAAATACATATCAATCACATCATAAAGCTATTTTCAAAAAGAATGACAAATTATAATTATGAAAAATTAGGTATTTGACAATTTCTCAAAAATGAAGTAAGCCTGACATTTTAAGGAAAATAACTGACAGTTTTTACTGCCAGTGATAAAATTCAAACATTCAATAAAAATGAAAATTTTAGAAAACACGTATTTGTATAAAAGAAAAAACATAACGAAAAAGAAAACACATTCAACATTGTGCACCTGAGAGCTTTCCATTACTCTTCCAATGAGACTACTGGCGACAATAATAAATGTTATCTTTTAATACTATAAATGAATCATGTCACTATCTGGAAAATCTGCATAACCTGGTCATTTGATATTTTCCAAATGACAAAGCACAATGTTATGCACAGATAACAGATGTATTCAAATCTCAAGATCGACCAATGAAGTTGTGTAACTGCGTATGAGAAGTTCATCAGTGTGGTTTCAGATTCCACACTGCAACTACCATTCAAGAAAATTTAGCAAAATCTGTGGTAGGCAGAATTTAAGGATGGCCTCCCAAAGATGTCCCACCCTAGTTCCTGGAACACGTGAACATGATTAGGTGTCACTCCTGTAATTATATTATGTTCTATGGCACAGTTGCCTTAAAAATAGGGAGATGATCCAGGTGAGCCTGGTCTAATAATGAGAATTTCCAACAAAGCAGTGCCCTCCAGCTAGTCACAGAGAAGGAAGTTACAGAAATTTAGAACACCTGAAAGATGTGCTGGGTCTGAAGGTGGAGGGAGCTTTGGGAAAATAAGTACAGAAGTTGAGCGATCACAACTGCAAGCCAAGAAAGGGGACCTTACATGCTGACAGCAAGCCAAGGAAAGGAACCTTACACCATTTCTCAGCTGCAAGGAACATGATTCTGCCACCAACTGAAGGAGCTTGGTGGTGGAGTCTTCCCTCGTGCCTCCAGAAAAGAGTGCAGCCTGACATCCTGATTTTTGGCTTTGTGAGACCCTGAGCAGAGAACTCAAGTCAAGCCTGCCCAGACTTCTAACCTACACAACTGTGAGGTAATAGATGGATGCTGTTTAAAGCTGCTACGTTGTGATTATGTTATGCAGCAGTAGAGCGCTAATACATTTACTGTAAATCAAAATGTAAACTCAGATCCAAGAATCCTAGTGTTGAAAATTTAGCCTACAGATATAATTAAAAACGATTACTAGTTCAAAGATGTTAATTGAACCTTGTTTGTAAAACAAACAAGAAAACAATAAAAATCGAAACAACCAAAGTATCCATAAATAGAGGACTGGTTAAATTATATAAATCTATAAAATGGAATACTCTGTAGCCATTACAAAGAATAGGAAGAGCTACATGGATGAATATGAAGCAATAAAACCATAATTAATAAGAGGAAAATATCAGAAACCATTATGATTTTTTTAATAAAGAGATTTGCATAAAATCGATGTATCTGCGTTAAACATTTTCTGGGGGAAAACCAATAAAAACTAAATAGCGATGAGCTTTGGATAGGATCAGATTCAGTGAGAGGTCTGCATTTTTGATTTATACCTTTTATTACATTTTGAATTTTCTATTGAACTTTATTATTCTTATTCATTTAAAAAATTATCAATAGAGTTTACTAGTCGTTGTCTAGGTAAACACTTCCCTGGCCCTCCTGCAAAGCTAACATGTTCTGTTTTATTCAGCTTGGACCTGCCTTCAGGAATTTGTTATTCACAGTCCTTTAATCATCCATGGTAAGACCAAAATCAGTTTTCTTTATCAAGTCTGCCCTGCCCCACAAATCTAAGTTCCTTGGTAAGATTTCTTATTAACTGTGCCCTCACTATGTGAATGTTTATGTGTATTTATATTTATATATCCTACTTTAACTAAAATTATAGGCTATGCAATTGTTTTTAAAATTTTAGACTGTATTCTATCACTTTTCATCACTATATTGAAAGCCACTTTAAGATATAAATCAGTGTAAACCATGCAAATATACAATGTACTACCCTAACACATTGCCATCTTGATGAAAATGATCTAGGAATCCTGCAGTTATATAACATCCAGAAATACTGCAATAGCAAGCAAACCAGTGTGATAAAATGGAACCCATTAACCTTAAATAATGGAACCCATTATTCTTAAATACTGTAAAGAGTATTTAATGGACAATCTACAACATCAGGTTTACTTAACGTATATTAAAATTAAAGTTAGAAGTATTTTTCATATTCCTTTAAGTTTCTTCTTTTAAAATGAGGACACAGTCATTAAAGGTAACAATGCTAATCCTTTTGTTATTAAATATTGTATTTGTAAATCTTAAGATCAAATTTTACCTGATTATATTTTCTACAACAGAAAGATGTACAATGAAAACAGCTTAAAAATGTACTGTATCAGTTTAATGTTATTCTTGTTTGTTGGCAAGTTGTTAACCAAAAAAACTGTTGAAAGTCACAAGAAATACTAAGACAAATGCCAAGACAGATTACTTTTTTCTTTATCCACATGTGAAATTAGTTTATAGTTCATCAGTTTGGTTATAATATACAACCAAACAAGAGGATGTGCGGTTAATGTACTTAGAAAATGATATACAATGAGCTACATATAAGATAGTACCATATCATTGTTATAAAATCAAACTAAGTAGATCATTTTTCTAAACAGCCTTTCTCTCGTAAACATGTATATATAACTAAATTGTATGTGTAACTGCACTGTAGTAATTTATTTTCTCTTAAAAAACAGGTTGGCTGACATTTTCTAGGAAATACCAAAGTATTATGCACTATAAAAATATTAAGTATGTGCACAAGCTCTTTGTCATCAGGAAAATGTTAAACAAAATCCATGGAAACTTTACAAGGAGAAATCAAAGAGACTGGACATGGAAAAGTAATAAAACATGACATTAAAATATGAATGAAACCTCTAAAATGATATTACCTGGAATCAATTCCATAATGATGTAGATAGGCTGTCTTTGTGTGCAAACTCCTATAAGTTTGACAATATTGGGATGATCATATTGCTTGAGAATTCTGGATGACAGAAAAGTGTAAAAATAGTTAACATTTAAATAAAAAAGCATTAATTTATAATCAGTGTATCTAAGTGGAATACCCTTTAATTAGCATAATTCAATTTTTAAAATTTCAGTATGAATTATGATAAGTAGGATGCATACGAGTTTTAATAAATATTGGCAAAATACAGATATGAATGAGTCAATTATTCTTAATTCAATTAAATATTCAGTTAAAAATTATTATCCACTCTGAATGACTAGCAACCATAGTCCAAAACATGTAGAATTCTCTTCAAAGTATATAGGTTTGGCCACTACAACAAAAGCGTAGATGAAAAGTATTAGTGAACCTAAACTATAAGCTGCTAGGGTGGTATCTTTTAATTTTTTTTTTTTATGTGTACACTTGATTTAAAACACATAAAAATAAGAATCCAATTCAAATTGATAAATACTAGAGGGTAATCACTTCATTGAATTCATAATAAATGCTTTATTGATAATAATACATTTCAATATGTTAAAAACTCAAGAGTTTTGAGAAAGCTGGCAAAAAGACAAATAATTGAGTAACAGTTTCAGTAGAGACTTAAACTGAAGTAGAGAAGACAGTATGGAAGAGGCAAAATTTCCGAGTGCCATAAATGTAGCACAAACTTATCCATAGGACTCCAAGCATGAGTTAAAAGTAGATTAGATTCCCTCAGAGGCCTGTCCACCCTGATGATTTCTATTACCAAATTTTACTCTATATTATCTTACTGACATAGTTATAAAGACACATCTGAAAGATGCAGTTTTCTTTCCTAAGATAATGAAAATAACTTTATTTGGAGAAAGATAAAACAATTTATATGTTTTGTACATATACAGTTAAAGCAGACATAGCTCTAAGAAAAATGTTTTGGATTGAAAACAATGATTAATGAAAAGATAAACTAAGGAAAATTCTAGTGATAAGGGAAATATTCTGACAATAACTTTGAGATTCCAACTTTTATAAGGAATTAAAAAGTTTTATAATGTCTAACTTTAATCCAAAATGCCATTTCTGAGGTTGGAAACTACTTAGTAAAGAAATTCCACAAAACACCCAACCTGAACTCAAATCAAATATTAAATATGTAAATATAGCTCTATCAACTATTAAAAGACACGTAGGAGGCTGCATGAATATAATTTTCATTTTCAAGATAAGACTTCATAATCTCACTAATGAGGAAATTTATTTACCAATAAAACAATCAAATTTGAAAGCAAAAAAAAATTTGAAAAATGTTAGTTATAACTGTACCATAAGAATATCTATGAATAACTATAAAACAATGAACCTATGAATTTCAATTAGTGATAGCATGCCTTTAAATTTATCAGTGTATTTCCCAAATTGAGAATAATGTATATGAAAAATGTTTTCAACTTTATTCTATAGATATTTAATAAATGCATCCAACTGATTAAATCCATTGTTTCCAATATTCAGTTTTAGATGATAAATGGAGAACTATACATCAAAATGCTCCATGCCATGGGATTTAGTTCTCTCACTGCCATGTCTTCTGTTCTCCCACGGCACTTTATGTAAACTTAATTTTATACAGTATGCCATGATGGAGACCACCCCTTGCCCCTACACTCACACCTTTACCTTAACGATCTATGAGTCCATGGGTCTTCTTCCTCTTCCAATCATCCACCCATCTCCCAAACATATGTCTATTCTCACTCTGTCCAAATCACCTTTCCATTTGTTTTGTGTTTTGTTATATAAATTAGATTTTGCCACTAGCAAAATAGTTTTAACTATTTGCAACACAGAAGTAGCAATTTGAAACATTAAATTTTAGCTAATAGGAAAAAATATTATCCTAGAATATCAATTAGAAAAGAAACAATATGCAAAGTTTGGAACAAATGCCAGACACCGAGTTAAAGAAGACATCTGAAGTTATCAGAATGCAAATGAAAAAAAAATGAATCAAGCGATAATATCTAAGTAGGGTTGGAGAGATAATAATTATATATCTAAATATATATATATATAAATTATATATTTTCTATATAGAATACAGTAATTTTTATTATAAGGACAGTCACAACATTGGATATATATACATATATCCGCATGCATATATGTATTTGCAATATTTTGAAGGACTTAAAGAATCCTCACTGTTTTTAGCAATCTGCTCTTTTGACTGTGATTACCTAACTGACCTAAAGTCTAACTCAGAAACACCGGAACATTTTGTTTCCACATCATATATGTGCTTACTTACGAGGGCTTATTTACAAGTGCTTATTTGTATTTCAGCAAATTATAATTTAAGATATCTTCAAACTTACATTCTAATGAATCACTTATCTTACAAATACATATTTTATATTACTTTAGAGAACTCACTTGGCTTCTTGTAAAAATTTTATTTTCAGTTCCTGAGGAAGATCTTCTTTACATGTTTTAACAGCCACATCGGTTTTATCCTTTAAAACGCCCTTATATACTTCACCAAAATTTCCCTGAAAATACAAATACATTTATTGTTTGGAGTATAAGACAGTCATATAAATCTTTGCAAAATACAAGGAAAGCATGTAATGATGCATTTTGAGCTAGCCAAAATACTCTGTTAGCATTATTCAGAGTTTTAAATTGAAATAAAGATTTGGAATATTGCTATCACCAATCCTCCGACTTTAAATATACTATCCAACACACCAACTATTTGTGGGGTTGAGGCTTGAGGACAACTGAAAAGGAAAATGGGGAAAAAATTGAAAGAGAATAGGATAAAAGGGAAACTTCAAATTGCCACTGTCAGAAATACATAAGTTTCACTCTACCTAATTCCTCGTATCCCCTAAACTCTAAATTTTATTAAGTTAAAAAAATTGTATCCATTAATTTTTAAAGATAAAGCAGAGATTCTGTGAGTTGATTTTTGGTAATGAGCCACAGAGCCATGTCAGTTGGAGTGAGAGAGTAAGAGAACAGGGGAGAGGGAACAGAACCTAGGCAGATAAAGGACTGTCAACAGTTACCGTTATTGGTTGTTAATCTCTGGAAGGTACGAAGGAGGAGGTGCTTACCCAAATGCTCACGTTTCCTGTGATGAACTCATTTCTAGCCAGTATATGAGCTCCTAACCTTATTTTATGGCTAAAAAGTATTTTGACAAAATTGCCTTATTTTGAAGTCATTTTTCTTTTATTATAAACACAAAATGTTACAGAGATCTATAAGGCTAACGCAATAGCTATTTTTTAGTATTCCCTTAAAGATTTTCTATGTGTGCATATGTATTTTTTATAAAGCTATAATGGTATGCACCCATTATATTATAAGCTTTGATGCTATTATTGAGTTTTGGAGTTCTAAGATCAATGTAACTTTAATAGTTCAAAGTATATAAATTTTATATGTTACTAATAGGTCATTTAAAATTATTAAAATACAAAATGTTTTAAATACTTTAAATATCACTTAATATTTTACTTGATTTTTTAATTTAAAAAATTTATTTTACTTAGTATTTTAAGTATACTTAAGTAATAAATAGTATTATTAAATATAATAAGCAATTCTTAAGTATTTATTAAAAAACTGATTGATCATCCATTCATGAAAAGTAAAGATACTATGAATTCAACATGATATACATTCATCGTAAGTTAGAAAAAAAACATTTGAGCTTTAATTTATATCTTTTCCTGTCATTGGAAGGTCTTCCTGCCTCCTTGTGTGGGTTTCAGCGCCAATCCTGTTATCCACGCTAGGGGATTTTTCTATTAAAGAATGACTTCAGGGTGTGCGGCCCGAGTGTCAGGGTTCTGCATGATGCTACACACTTGCTATAAGTGAAGACCTGATTTATAGGGGCCCAGTTCCAAGGGAGAATCATGGTTCTGAAGTCTGGTGTTGACACTGGAATGACAGCATGGAATTATCTGTGACTTCCAGTACCTTCTGGAATAAGGAATTTCCCCTCTTTAATACTGCAGATCTTCTTTTTCATTGATCTCTGCTAAATCGTGGCAATTCACGAATTGAGGAAACATTAATGAATTAAAAGCATTCCTTATTTTTTAACTAAAAAAAATTGTCCCTTCCCTCAATTACCAGATCATTTTTTACATCAGAGATAGAGCTGAGAAAAGACTTAATCTACATGATTATTGTTGCTAGGCCTCTATCTGAATGATTCTGAAGCACTTATAATTCAACTTGTCTAAAACTTATTCATTAGAAGACTTCCTTACTAAGTTACCCTTTTCATTTACTAGGACCAGCATTCTCTCTGCAAGCATTCCGATTTGAACTCTACAGTACTTTTGTCTTCCTTTTTGATTCTCAAAAAGGCTGCTCTGGTTCAAGATCTCAATTTTCTCCCCTAAGGTGATCTCACTGCTCCAATCCATCCACCACAGCACTGTCAGATTAATCTTTCCAAGAGACAACTTTCATTACATTCCTGTCTTACTCAACATCCATCCTTTGATTTCCATCACTTTCTTGGCCTCTGTCTAGCTCCACATTATAGCCTCCAACTGTTAAATGTGTCCTAAATTCAAATACTTAGTGAACCCAAAGTACAAGCCATGCCTTTCCTAATTTTTTTCTGTGAAAAACCACCCCCACCATTAGTTAGAAAATGCTAACTAATCTTTAAGTTCATTTCATATGCCCCCTCCCCTTCATAAGGATTTTTCGATCTTCCCCAAATTACATATCCTGTTACTGAACAGTTATCATTCAATTGCCCCTTTGTACATTTTTAATGGTTTCTGCCCCATATGACAAGTCTTGGCATATACTAGTTATCTAAAAATTTTAAACATTCATTCAACAATCATAACTCAGAGGACTTCAACTCTGTCACCGGTGGTCAAGAGGGAAATCTCCAAACACTGAGAAAAAGACTATGCTTCCCAGGACACCTCTTCTCCATCCGAAGAAGTCAAGAGTAAGCCTAGCCTACCATTTAACAGGCACAGCTTTACTTCTGCTACTGGCCTTAAGACCAGGAGGCTAAATCTCATGTCTCGTTTATGTTGTCAGTCCTCATAAGATCTTGGTCCTAGGTTAACCCTCATCTCCTCCCTCTCTAACCTTCATCAGATTCTGCAGACTTCTATTTAACCCTCTATATCCAACTATTCCCCTTCTATTTCCATTTTCCACTGTGCTTTCTGGAATTCACGGTCCATCATTATAAAAATTTTTATCTTTAATGTATTCTTTGTCATTCTTTCACTTTCTTGTTCTAACAGAAACATGGCTCTCACCTGTGAACACTCAAATGGTGGCTGAGCTTCCTTTTGCCTTCTAAACTTAAGTGATGCCTCCCTCAACCTCCAATCCTCCCACTGCCCTAGTGTTCTACTAATTCCTTGTCACTGTTTTCAAACCATTTTCCCTCCTGCATTCTTTAAAACCAAACAAACAGCTTTGAAGTTTTATCATTTGATTATATACCAACTGCCTCTTATTGTGGCTATCAGTTATAGAATTTGAAAATATTTTCCTTCATTTATTGACAATTTGAGCTCCTGGATCACTGTACTCAGTGTCATTCTTGTCTTAATTCTTGGCAATTTCAGACACTTAAAGATCCTTGCAATACTTCAAATTCTTTCTTAAACATCTCTTCCAATGATCTGTGTTCCAGCCTATTTTCTAGGATCATGCTTTAAACACTGTCAGTGCCAACAATGCAATGACTCTATAGTATCTATTCATTCATTCTGTTTTCTAGTTGCCTTCTATTTTTCTAGCTTAATTCCTCTAGTATCTAGACTCCAAAAATCCTTTGACCCTGTAAGAACCTCAAAATCTTTAGATCCCATTAATTTTTATTTTCTATTATCTTAATATCCTCTCTTTCTCCCTTATGCAGCTTAAATTCCATGGTCAACAATTATAACTGCTTACCATACACACTCAACTTTTTTTCCCTCTTAATCTGTAGAACTCTCTTGTCAAATTCACAATCTGAATTAAATGCAACACTCTGCCTAAACTGCACATACACAGCTAAATGTGGCTAAATAAGATCCACAATTGTGTTGACTACTTTCACTTTAAATCCATGAGCACGAACTTCCTTAATACTGCCTAATAATCACATTACAATTATCTAGACCATTTGGTCTCTCATTCTTCTAATTAACTGTTTTCCCCTTCTACTCTCTTCTTCAGTCCTCCACTCGTCCCCGCCCTCCATCCTTATTCTTAGCTGATAATTTTGCTTCCTACTTCATTGAGAAAATTCAAACAATCTAAAGAGAACTCAGCTCCACATTTACCCACCTACCAATCTTCCCTTGCTGTTATAAAAATGAACTATTGTATTTCTATTGAAGTCAATCCTATTATAAACTAAATCCGTCCCCTTACCTTACCTACTTAACGATGTTACGCCAGCAACTCTCTCTTCAAAAATCATACATTTTTCACTAGATCATTCCCAAGTGCAAACCAGCATGCTATTATTTCTCCAAGATTAACCACCACGACCAATCATTCTCTTGAAACCACTACCACATGCCCCTGCTCCCTTCTGCAGCAAAACTTCAGAGTTATAATCCTTGCTATCTCCAATGCCTCTATTCCCATTCTCTCTTAAATCTATTCCAATCTGGCTTTCACCTAAAACATTCCAAAGAATCTGCTCAGCCAAGTCACCAGTGACCTCTTCATTGCTAAATTCAGTGGTTTTTAGTCATCATCTCATTTGGCCTCTCAGCAGGATTTGACAGCACTGAGCACTCTCTTCTCCTTGGTATGCTTCCTTCTCTTTGCTTCTGAAGTATCATCTCCTGATTTTTGCCTTCCAGAAGACTGCACATTCTCAACTTCAAGTATTTTGCTTCTCTTCTCTCCAGCTTCTTAATGTTGGAGTGAATAGGGCTCAGTCTTTGCTTCTCTCCTCTTTTCCACCTAGGCTCTCTCCACTGTTAAACTCATCTAGTCTTATTGTTTTAACTACCATCTAAATACAACTCCCAAATAAGTAAATCACAATCACCAAATTAAACTTCTGATCCAGACTTCATATCTATCTTCCCAACATCTCTATTTGGAAATCTATCAGACAAAACTCAATACATTCAAAATTGAACTCCTAATCTTGTTCCATAAAATCTGATGCACTTATCCTGACACCCCTCTTTCTCTGATGCCTTACATAGAGGCCTTATATCAGGATATTCAGTTGGTTTAACCTTAAAAAATATCCAAAACTCACTACTTCTCACCACCTCCACTACCATCACCCCAACTCAGCAACCACCATCTTTTAGTTAGATAACTGCAATTGCTTCAGAACTTTCTAACTCGTTAGCCTATTCTCAACACAGAAGCCAAACTGATCTTTGTAAAAAGATCATGCCACTCCACGTGAAAGCATCCACCAGCTTATCTTTTCATACATGATCAAAGTCAAAGTAATTACAATGACCTACAAGGCACCACATGACCTACACCCTCAACGTCACAGACTTCCTGTCCTATCACATTCCTCATTGCTTACTCAGTTACAGCCAGTCTCCCTGCTCTTCAGAAGAAATTTGTACTGTACTCATTGTCAAGAACCTTCTTCCTCAGATGTCCACATGGCGAAATACCTCCTGAGTTTTATTTGAAAGAATTTTAATAAGGCTTATCCAGATTTCCCCACAAAAAAATTGCAATTCTGACCCACAGCACTCCTAAACTCTATATTTTTCACAGAACTTAGCATCCTTTAACATTATAAAATTTACTATTTGTTATGTTTATTGTTTATCTATCTTCCCTGCTAAAGAGAATACAAGCTCCATAAGGGCAAGGATATATGTCTGCTTTGTTCACTGATGTATTCCAATGTCTAGAAGAGTGCCTGGTACATTGCAGGCACTCAACAAATATTTGAATATTAAATAACAATTATATATCAAGTATAGTCAACTAAGAGTATACTGCTCAATAAGAAAGTTAGAATTCCTGTCTCTAATTTATATTACTACTAAATTTCAAAGTCTGTAGTGTAGGAATTATGACTAATTCTTTTTTACTTATGCATTCTCAAGCAGTATACTATAAATATTTATTCAGAATAGGTCATGAGAATATTAAATGACAAATCATTTTCTACTCAAATGTATTAGTTGAAATTAAGCTATACCATTGTCTTTAAAGTTGCAGTCTTTTCATTAAAAAATGATTAAATTTATTGAAACTGACATCATTCTACAGTCTTGTCATTGAGAAAATAATTATTCTTTGAAATAGCCTTATTAATAAGAAAAGGCTAAAATTCCTTCTGATATATCATATTTCACATATTAAACTAAACAAAAATTGAAATATTTCTCTTTAACTGAAAATATTTTTTCTTGAAGACTGAAAAAAAATCTGCCCTATCAACACATTCTATTTCAGTAAGTGGTTTAATTTTACCATTTATAATTGTATTTTCATGGAAATTAATTTAGTTATAATTTTTCACCCAATCACTGCTACTGAGTTCCTGACCTAAAGTAACAGAGAGAATATATCTTTAAGAATGACCGTCACAGAGGAAATGAACACATCAGCTACTGCTTTTAGCTTGAAATTCTTTGGAATTTACTTACTAAGTAAGCATTTGCAGTCAATAACACTGCTTTCCAATAGCAATTTCATGCTTCTATTTGGAAAAGGTATTTTAAAATACTAAGAATCCTGCAAAGTAGATTTCAACAGAGATTTACTCCCTTAAGATACATCAGAACTAAAAAATAGGATAAAATTTATCAATTCATCAAGTTTAAATTTGAAACCAAAAAAGTAATAATTATTTTTACTTAAAATGCTGAAGCTTAAGTCTAGTATTGATCACTCAGAAATGTATGAGTGATAGTTTTACCAGAATATCAAGATTTTAGTAAATCTTGATATCGAGAAAATATCAAGAAAACATTATTTTTCACTTTGCACTATGAAACTAAACTCATTTCAAACTTTCAAATGGTAATATCACTAATTAAGTCATTGACAAAGAAGTTAATATTTACTCATTGGAACTCAATAATAAATAATTTGCAAAGTCCATTTGATTAATAATTATCAAATGTCTGCCATTATTGTTAGATATAATGTTAGATATATTGTTAGATGTAATCATATTTAACAGCCCTCTATGACCACTAATAGAACTAGCTAAAAAAATGAATAATTATACTGAAACATGTCTTGTCCACATAAATTTTAGATAAAATAATGTGTCCAATGTTTCATACTATGGTTCTACACACAATCCTGAAATCTCAAAGAGCAGTATTTCATCTTTTCTGAACTATCATGTAAAACCAGAAACAAATGGAACAAGACTAGAAGGTGTTTATTTAAACTTGTCTTACCTCACAGTTTCTTTTCAAATCTCAGGTCACTAGTTTTGGCTTTACTACACTGTAATAAAATCATCATGGCTTTTAATCCTTCCATAGGAAAACACACATATACTATTTTTAAAAGTCAAGAATCATTCTTAAAACTTTCAAAGATTTTTACACATCTATTTCGGTGAACATCACAGTATTTATAACAGATGTGGTTATAAACTATTCTAGGTTAATGTGGGAATGTGCCTCCTGTGTGATGGAATATAAGGGAGCTTTGAAGAAAATGAATCTGCAGAGTTCACAATCACTATAAAGACTTTTGGTCATTTAGTCCAGTTGATTACATACCTTGCCCAGTAATTCTCCCAATGTGACATCTTCATGATTGAGAACCCATTTCTTATCCTGTGGCAAAGAAAAAGAACAGTATTTTAGCCCAAGCAAGAGTACATATCCTGTAAGATGCATTTGAGGCAGTAGGAAATAGACCTAAGGGGATATTTCATTCAGACCATTTGATTTACAGCACACTAAGAAGTTGTAGCCTCAAGAGGGTATAAAACAGATTTAAGAAATGTTACTACACAATAGGATTTTAAAATCTACATTATAGTGAACTTCTATCAGAAATCTTAGCCTTCAAAATTACAGTCTCCTTTAACTAGAACACACAGCATGTACTCTTCTCTCCCCATAAAGCTTAGGCTATGCCATTTTTGTCATTTTTAAAGAGTTGTGTCATAAGTACATGAGAGAATTTCATTTTACAGTGCAAAAATTCCAAGTCTCTCTTGATCACAGAGAATTCTTTTTCTATCCAAACCACATTATTAAGAGCTATTTTTCCCACATATAAACTGATCATGAGTTATAGCTGTTTATGACACTGTATATATTCCCATATCTTTCCTAAGTCATTTCCTGTAGTATAGTAAAACAACAAAACTAGGGTGCATAAGACCAGTGATGTGAACATGCCATTATAAAAGAACATCCCATTATCTAATCTCAAGAACTAATTACTACTTAGGGAATAGTTTATCATCTAAAATTCTCAGCTATTAAACCACTTAATACCATAATGGTAAAAAGGCTTTTAAAAAAGAAGAAACAGAAGTAGAAGAAGAAGGTGGTAAAAGGAATGAAGCAAAGAAGAACAAGAGACATAGAAAAAAGGAAGAAAAAAAAGGAAAGAAAAACAGGGGTGGGAAAAAGAGAAAAAAAAAATCCTGTGATAGTTTATTCAGGATTTATTTTTAACCTATGTTAAAATGTAGCGTTGCCGCATTACGCAGATTGAAATGTAATTATGATCTACAGAATGAGTTTTAACAAGTGATCAAACATCTTGAAGTAAAAAGCCACTATGACTTAACATGTCCTGGACAGACATTTGAAGCACTTAACCTTTGGAAGCACCATGTGACAAACACTCAAACACCAGTTTCTGACAGATCAACAAAGGGAACACTGATTTTAAAAACAATAATTTACATGTATAACATTTCAATCTAAAAACAAAGTAGGAGCTATCCTGGAAGAAAACACAGAAGAATAGCTTCATGACCAAGTGAGTAAGCAAAGATTTTACAAGGGCCACAAAAAGCACTAACTATAAAAGAAACAAGTGAATTCATCAAAAGTAAAAACATTTGTTCTCCCAAAGGCATCATGTTTTAAAAATGAAAAGGCAAACTACAATCAGGGAGAATATTTCAGCAAAACATACACCTGATAAATAATTTCTATGTAGAACATACAGAGAACTCATAACTCAATAACAAGATGACAAACAACCCAATTTTAAGAAATTGAGTAAAAAGTTAACAGAATATGGATAAATAGACAAGAAGCACACTAAAAGATGTTAAACATCATTAGTCTTCAGTAACATAGAAACAATAATAAGATGTCACTTTACACGTATTAAAATACTAAAATTAAAAAATTAACAATACCATGAGATTGCAAGGATGTGGAAAAACTGGATTCCTCATACATCGTTAGTGAGGGTGTAAAATGATACAAGCCATTTGGAAGACAGTTTGGCAGTTTCTTATAAAGTTAAATATACATCTACTTTGTGATTCAGAAATTACACCCCTAGGTAAACCCAAGAAAAACAAAAACATACAGCCACAAAAAGACACCAATAAATGTTTGAGGCAGCTCTATTTATAATAAGCAAAAACTAGAAATAATCCAATGTCTAGCAAAAAGAGAACTGATAAACAAATTTTGGTATATTCAATTATTCAGCAATAAATAGGAATTTACTAGAGTAACATTCAACAACAGATCATTTGCAAAACACTGCTGAGACAATAAGGCTAGATATACTTTATATAAATGCATACATATAAAATGGATCCATTTATATCAATTTCTAGAGATGACAATTTATAATGCTATAAATCAGAGCAGTGCTTGCCTGAGGCAGGGGCTGTGGAAGACTGACAGCAAAGGAGAAAGCAGGAACTTTGAGGGGTTGTGGAATTATTCAATTTCTTGATATTTCATTGAACTATAAACTTAAAATCTGTGCATTTTATTGTATGCAAACTATATATCCATAAAGTTGATTTTTTAAAAATAGAAACTAAAAATAAGCAAATATTTTTAAAAATGCTACTATTTGAGTAGTACTTTGGGGTTTAATTTCCCCTCCTCATATTATCAAAAGCTATTTCTCAAAGAATGTAGTCTGGGAGGCAGGAGAGTTATTAAAGTTGCAAAATGAGTTGTTGAGAGCTTTTCCATTTCAAATATGGTAAACTATGTGGGTCAGACCAACTCTCCCACTGCAAAACACTGAAAAAGCTGGAATAAATGTAAAAAGAAAACTTCTGTTTGAGAGGACTAGAGAGCTCTAAATAGTGAACAACTGAAAGGCTAAGTTTAAGAAAAGTAGCCAAGTCTTTTTGAGCTACGTTTGCCTTAAGTGCATATGCTGATTGTAAAAGCAGCAGCCAATAGATTGAAAACAAATTTTTTTTTGAAAACAGGCCCTGATAAAATACCTCATTTTATTTTTTATTTATTTTATTTAATTTTCTTTAGGTGAGGCAACCCTTGGGTGACTTCACAGATTGCAAGGACCTTGTCAGCTTACAATCCCTTATTTTTTTATTTTTTACGCCTACAGCACCTGGTTTTCCTAGGTGGTCTCCCATCCAAGTACTAACCCGGCCCGAGATCAGATGGGATCCAGTTTGTTTAGGGTGGCATGGCCATACACAAAATACCCCAGACTTGAATAAGGACGTCAAAGATACCACTCAGTTGTAGAAAAGGCAACCTGGAAATAAAAGAAATTAAACCTACCTTCTAATCATCTCCAGCCCCGATGGGACTAAACGGAGATAGGCAAACTAAGCCTAGAGGCCAAATTGGCTCAATGCTTTCTTTGGATGGCCCATTATCTAAATACGGCTTTTGCATTTTTAAATTGTTTTTTAAAAAAAAAAAGAAAAGTGAAAAATTTGTGGCATATGAAAATTATATAAAACCCAAATTTAGTGTCATAGACTATGATCAACAAATATTATCTGACATAAAAGCTAAAGAGAGGGGAAAAAAATGAGCAGTTACAAGGTTCCATGGGACAATACCAAGAGGTCTAACATTCATATCAAAGTCGCATTAAGAAAAGGAAAAGAACTACAGTGCTGAAAATATGAAGAAATACTGGCCCAAAACTGCTCAAATGTGTTAAAAGAAATAGACCTACAGATTCAAGGACCCTAAAAAAGAAACCCCAAAAAAGAAAAGCTCAAAGAAAGCAATTCCTAGACACAACATAATTACATTGGTTAAAACCAAAGACAAAGAAAAAAATTTTAAAACAGCTAGAGGAAATGACCCATTATTTACAGGGAAACAATCAGAATGACTGGAGAGTTTATCATCAGAAACTGTGGAGGCCAAGAAGAAGTGGAACATTTTTAAGTATTAAAAGAAAAAACTGTCAAATCCAGGTTTATATATCCAGAAAAATATCTTTCAGGAATGAAGATAAAATATGGATATCCTTAGGTAGAGGAAGACTAAGAAATTAGTTGCTAGTGGACTTACTCTTAAAAAATTTTTAAAAGGAAGTTCTTTAGCCAGAAGGAAACTTGAGGTATCAGGAAGAAAAGAATAACAACAATGGTAAATACTTATATAAATATAACAGACTTTTCTTCTCTGAGTTCTTTAAAATGTGCTTGACAGGTAGAAAGGAAAATTATAATATTTCCGATGAGTTTTTCAGTTGATGTAGATGCAATATATAAACAAGTAAAAGAGGGAAAGGTAAACAGGATCCTACAGTGATAAAGTGTCTGCACTGTACTTGAAGTGTTAAAATATTCTTTGTGAACTGTGAAAAGTTAAATATGTTTTTGGTAATTCCTAGAGCAACCAGGAAAAAAAAAAGTACAAAGCTATATAATCAAAACTACAAAAATATTTAACGGTCAAATCATCCAAAAGAAGGTATGACAGGAAAAAGAAATAAAAAACAAAGAAAAACAGAAAATTATAGTCCTAAATCCAAACATATCAATAATTATATTAAATATAAATTGTCTAAATACACCATTTAAAATACAGATTGTAAGAGAATTTTTCAAATTAGTCAACTAAATGCTGCCTAAAGAAACTCACTTATAAAAAGTAAAAGGATGAAAATAGATATAAAATATAAACATAAATCCTAAGAAAGCTGGGCTACCTACAGTAATGTCAGACAAAGGAGACTAAAAGTAAATTACATATGAATAGGAAAATCGTAGAGTGATAAAAATGTCAATTCACCAAGAAAATATAATAGTCCTGTCTATGCTTCAACCATAGACACTTCAAAATGAAGGAAACATTGACAGAATTGAAAGGAGAAAGACAATTTCACAATTGCAATTGGAGACTTCAACACTCCTCTCTCAGTGACAATAGAGAAAAACAGCGAGGTTATAAAATAACTGAATAACACTAACACTAACGAAGAAGATCAATTTATTTGATCTTTATGATAAAATTGTACAACAGAATAAAACTCTTTTTGTCAAGTAGAGGGAAAATTTACCAAACTAAACCCTACCATAAATCTGAGTCTTAAAACAAACCTTAACAAATGTAAAAAAATGAGGTCATACAGGGTATGCTCTCTGACAGCAAAAAAATTAAACCAGAAGTCAACAGTTTCCAAATACTTGGAAATTAAACAATACACTTTTAAATGATCCATGGATAAAAGAAAAAGTCTTGAGTAATTAGAAAAAATTTTGAACAAAAATAAAAATTCAGCATATCAAAAATTTCAAGATATAGTTCATGTAGTCCTTAGAGGGAAATTTATAGCATTTCATATTAGAAAACAGGAAAGGTCTCAAGTCAATAATTTAAATTTCTACTGTAAGAAT